TCAGACTTGCATTCATCGTCATGATCAACAGTATTTTCTTCGATTATATTTTCAGACGAAGTTGTTTTATTGACAGAGAAACTTTCATTTTGAGTTTGACCATTGTCTTCTATTTTACATCGTTTGACAATTATCGGCATTTTTGTCTTTCGATCCATGCTGACTTTAAATCGTGGTATTTCATTGTCACGGATAATCTTCGGATGGTTTTCCAAATTAGAATAAGTGCCTAAAATATTGAATCATATATTAATAGAATGCATAAATAATATTTGCAAACAAATTAGTGAAAAAATGAATATTACTCAAAATAGACTCGCAATCCCACGTCTCTCTTGTGCGTTTACTTTCCTTGGACGTATCAAGAACTTCACTAACACTGTTGTTAACCCGCACTTTACTTTTACCACAATTTTGTGTTTCATCCTCGATATTCACTTGTCCTAGTCCACGTCGAATTGTCTCCAATTTATCGACTACAGAATCACCTTCTAATTTCGGAACCATTTTGCGACCTACTATCTCGTATTTATCAAGAAACTCTTCCATAATTTGATCAAAATCTTGACGGCGTGAACTCTCTAAATTGTCGTCGTCATCATCATCTTCGTCGTCATCGTTCATATATTCTTCTTCAATCTAAACTTTACAACGATAGTCAGAAAATCAAAAAAGAAAATAAATAAAAAACCGTAGGAATTTCGAGAAAAACCTTTGCGAATTGCTCATCTAGTAAAGTCAATTTCTCATTTCTAAACATTGCCGAACTTGACATCGAATATCTTGTCCGTGATTTTATATCATCTTCGGATTTACTATTTTCTCCTTCTTCATCCTTAAGACATTTCAATCTTTGTACTCTCTGGAAGCTCTTGAATTCTTTTTCCCAATCTCTCGAATCTGGTGCCATTTCATCTTCGCTTTCTTCAAAAGATTCCTCTCCGTCATCAGCATTTAAAGCAGCGAAAAAATCATCATTGAGATCATTTTGAATATACGCTTCATCTTCAAGTGCTTCCAGCGTTTCTCGAAGTCGAGGATCCATGTCAGGTTGGAATCCTTGGATATCTTTAATATAGGAATTATCACATTAATTACTTTCAGTTTAAAAGGGTACAAAACGAAATACTATTTAATTTATTAAATACCCTCCGGAATGGCCGATCGATCAAAGTATTCAACAGGAATTTCTTCCCGTGATGGGAGAACTTCAGGTGGCAATTCAATTGTTATCTTTTGATCTTTTTTAGGACTCGATGTCCGCTGATAAGTTTAAGAAAAACATAGTATCGTTGAATACATCACCAAATATTAAATAAAAAAATCAAATTTTTTTTATTTTTGCTTCAATAATTCAGAAGGAACAATTGGATATTATTGATTTTTAGTATGATATAATCACGGATTTATGAAAATCTCGGAATATTGTAACTCATCATAATCATTCAGCATTCATCAACCAAACCAAAAAAATTTATTATATTAACCGTATCATCATCATCATCATCTTTCACAAATTCTAAGCCTTTCTTTTTTCCTTTTTCTTTCCTCGAAGGAGCTTCAACAAACACAGCACCGTGATTAACACCGATCGGCCTCAAATGTTGCGTATAATCATAATCGGTATCATCAAAATATACCCCATAAAGTGCTGCTTGGCCAACAAGACTTTATTTTTTGAAAAATAAATTATTGTTAAACCTGAAATCATTTATTTTTTATTCCAAAACAAAAGATATTGATTGTACCTCTCTATTTTAGACTGGGTTACGTCTTCAGTGGTTTCATTAATTTTATTCTTTGAAATAAATATTAAAAGTTACATTACACCTATTTTGTTAATGTATTATAATAAACAAGGAAGCCCTTCCAGTACCCGTAAATTCGACGGTGTAATTTCTAGCAAAACTCTCGAAGAGGCATCCGTATCATTTATAAGGGGATCACGTTGAGACCTATGTACTAGTTGATAGTGCTTAGCGTTCTTACGATCAATAAAAGGTTTTTTACCCATTTGTTTAACGTTAAGAAAATCACTTTTCGAACTGCCAAATTTACAATTGTAAATTCATGTGATTATTTGATTACAGAATTAAAGATAATTCTGGCCAAAATTAAGTTTTGACAATGTGCTTCAAAATCTTCTATAATAAAGAAATCAATAAGATAAAAAAAATAATCTTTTAATAATTATTAAGATTACAACATCAGTAATGTTCATGATGAAAATCTTGAATAGAACTTAATATTGATTCAAAATCAATAATTAATAAATTCTAGCCCAGTATTGTATTTGACCAGATCAGCAGCAAAAATTTCCAAATGTAGGGATGCGTTAAAGTCGATAGTATTATATAACGTAAAATTCGATTCAGATCCAGATCATGTGAAAACTTCACGTAATAAATAATAAAACAATTATTTTTTTTGCAAAAATGAATAAACTAAGACTCCTGTGTAACTCTTCAAAAACTGTTATTATTAAATTATTTTGCTTCGAAGTTAAATTAAATGACAAAGTTTTTACAGGAGAGAATACTATAGATAGTACTCTACAATAATTTTGTTTAACAAATAATTATTCATTAAATTAGTGATAATAACCAATAAAAATATTAGTGTTAGCTTATCAATAACAATGGGCTTTGAATAAATTCATATTAAAAGTATTAATTATAAAGTTAATGAACAATTTTATAGTATTTTTGGTTGATAATAAAAATAAACCAACAATTAAAAATTTTATTTGATTTGTTAATATTATTAAAATTGATTTTTCAAGATCATTTTCACTCAAAGATCTATTTTATCTGAAATATTGTTGTATAATGACCTTTCGTCATAATATTTTATTATTGGATTATAAATATCTCATATATTATTGGATAAAGA